GTCCTGTGCCTAGTCACACAGAGCTGGTGGGAGGAGTGTCAAGAGTGTGACTGAGACACAGGTGGGTTGAGGCTGTGACTCAGAGGCCCTGTGAGACTTGCTACTGTCAGAGCAGCCCCTCACCCACCTGTCAGCCTCAGGGGTGCCTCACATGGGGGTGGGGCACAGCCTGGCTGTGTCCTGAAGGCTCAGCTGCCAGAAGTCTCTATGGACTCTTCCCTGGTGGCATCCGGGTACTCTGTCCTCTGCTCTGGGGACAGCCTATGGATGCTGTCCCCATACCCCCGGTGCAAGGGGTATAACCATGCAAGAATGTGCAAGTGGTACCTAGACAGCACAGTGAGCTGTCCCAAAATGAACATTCCTATGAGACCAGCATTCAAGTGGGGAAGGTGACCATGGCTAGCAAACAAGGGCTGCTGAAAACAGAAACAGATTGCAAAACAACTGGAGAACACCCCAGGGAAATGAAAACACCAGCCACTTCGCTGCCCACTGTCACCCATCCCAGAGGAGGCATCGGCACAACTGAGAAGGGCCCACCCGGGGCCCTCCAGCGGGGCCTACCCCTGGCTCCACGCTGAGAGCACTGTGTCCCACAGCTGTGACCAGCAGGGACCCCAGGTGTTATGGTTTGTGTTTGGATGTCCCCTCAAAGGTTCATGTGGTCATTGGGGGTGGGCTTTTCAGATGTGGCTGAATCTAGAGCTTGTGATTTGTTCATTGTCTAGTGCTGAGATTGGCAGAGTGAGTGCCACACTCGCCTTGGGCAGGTAGCCTGCATGCAATATAAGGGAGGGAAAGAGGCTTGCTCCTCCCTTTTCCCTTTTGTTCCTTTTTTACCCCTTTTGGCTCTTGCTGCTGTTGCTGTCTTCCACCACCATGAACTGTTGCCCCAGTGCCATACGACCCTGCCTTGGAGCCAACTGATTATGGACTGAAACCTCCACAAACTGTGAGCTAAACAAACCTGTCCTTCTTTAATTTGGACATCAGGTATTTTGTCTCAGCAAAGAGAGAAAAGTAACCAGCCCTCTCCTCATGTACCCCACTTCTCTCTGGTCCATCCCTGCAGGGACAGCTATAGCAAAAGGCATATCGGGGCCTCACATTGGAAGGGCACAGAGCAGGGGTGATTGCCTCTGCTGAAGACCCACTGCTGCTATTATGGTTTATGTCTAGATGTCCCTCCAAAGCCTCATGAAGTCACCAGACTTTTTCAGAGGTGGCTGAATCAAGAGTGTGTAATACCAGGATTAAGGGCATGTGATCAGTAAATCAGCCCACTGATTGGTTTGGCATAGTTCTGGCTGGGATTAAGGTTGTGAGTGCTACACCTGCCCTAGGGCAGGTAGCCTACATGCAATATAAGGGACAGGACTGGTTGCTTTTGCTGCCTTGTGGCGGCATGAACTATTCTCTGCCATGCCATCCTGTCTTGAAGCCAGCTAATGATGGACTAAAACCTCTACAAACTGTGAGCTGCAAAAACTTTTCCTCCTTTAACTTTGGGTGTCAGGTATTTGTCCCAGCAACAAGAAAAGTAACTAAGACAACTGCCTACAAGAACTCTGTGCTGCTCAAGGTGATAGGTCTAGACCTGCTCACGGCTTTATCTCTGAAAGAGGACAGACCTCATAGGGGCTTCGGGACAAGGCCTGGGCACATCCCTGCATGGGCTCCCACTGTCCACTGAGCAAATACCCTGGGTGGGCACTGGACCCTCACAACACTGCACAACTCTCCTGTTTCAGCTTTGTGTGCACAGCCACTGTTTCCACTATCAGGCTGTATTCATCCCCTTCTTTTGCCTTCCACAGATGAAAAGGTGTCCCTCCCACACCTCTTTCACCAGCGGTGTGCTGAGCCATTGGGGATTCAGGAATTTTACAAGCTGATTGATAAACGAAGCCACCAGTTGCAGCCAAGCCCTGTGGCACATCTTTGTAATCCCACCTACTCAGGAAACCGAAGCAGGAGGATTGCAAGCTCTAGACCTGCTTGGGTAATGTAGTGAGCCGCTGTTTCAAAAAATAAAAAAAAAAAACAAAAAAACTGGGGGTGTAGCTTAATGGTAGAGTTCTTGCCTAGAATGTAGGAGGCCCTGGGCCTCTACCCGCTTACCACACGCACCCAGCCAAAGTTTAAAGTATATAAATGTGCACTTAAATATATATTGAAGGCTAAAATAATAAATACTCAAAATGCATCACTTCCTAATTATTGTACTGTTATCTATGCTTTTTGAAATTATTTAAATCGGCTGCATGGGCATGGTGGGCATAACAATGTTCTACGCATGCCTGGCTTCCTGAGTGTTGATTAGGTCATGTCCCTTGCTAATTCACATTCGCCCAGTTGGGAGGACTTACAGGTCTTTCTCTCTTGCCTCAGCTTCTAGGTCTGGGGTGTGGGACCCATGCCAGGCACCGAGAAATGTGTGTGCACACACAAGCCTGCCCGTGCGCCGCCCTTACCACCAGGCAGCGGGTCCCTTGGGTTTCTCCACCTATGGGTTTGGGCAGGGGGGCTTCGGTTCAGTCCCTTGCCCCCGCTGCTCCCAGATACTTCCAGACCGTGGGGAGCGGAGGGACCTCTAAACACGCCTAGGATGGACTCCCTGGCTTCCCACAGCCTTTGAGTACTGCGGAAATGGACTTAAAGCGGGTAGAGGAATAGGACAGTGTGGCCCTCTCCCGGCCAAGCACGGCAGGCAGGTGTCCTGCACAGCGCCTCCTGGCGGACAGACACAGTGCTTCACAGCGGCAGCCGACTGGACACCCCGTCTTCCTTCCTTTAGATTTCCCTGCCCCGCGCCCCACCGCGCTCCCGCTGGGCCTGGATTCCTTGCAGTGCGCTTTCTCCCTCCTGGCACCGCGCGCCCTCTTCTCCTACGGAGGGCTGACCCGCCCTGGGAGCCCAGGTGGCGAGGTGCCAGGCCCTGGGGCTCCTCGCTGGCCGTGAGCGTCAGCAGCTCGTGGGCTCGGGATGCAATGCCTGGCTGAGGGCGCCTACTCCACCCACACAGCCGGATCCTCTCGCGTGCCCACGCGCTCTCAGCCGGGACAGTCTCGCTCCAGGGCCCGGCGGAGAGTGGAGTCCGGTTTACGTGTGGAAGCGCCGAGAGGCCTTGGCCCGGGGGCGGGCAGGGTTCCCTCTTTCTACCCGGGGGCGCGCGTGAGGTGGGGGCAGAAGTCGCCGGGCAGCACCGGGTAAACCAGCCCGAGGCGTTCAGGGTGTGCGCCGGCGTGGGAGCCCCAGTGTGGCGGGTGTCTCCTCCCGAGGGTAGGCAGTAGGTCTAGAGGGGCGGGAACCCACACACCCTCCCCAAGTGGAGGGGGACAGCTGCGTGCTGGCCGCGGGGTCCCTCTGGCGCCCAGAAGCTGCGACCGAAGGATGCGCGGGATATGCAGGGGACGTGGCGGCTTGCAGCCTGGGACTGGAACGGTTCGAGACTGAGACCTGGAGGCAGGCAGAGGAGTGCCCCGGGGTTGGAGGGTGCAGGAGGCCGTGATATCCATCCTGCTGGCTTCTGCTCCACCCTCCCCCCAGCGGGGCGATGCCCAGCTGCCGCAGCCGGAGCTGCCTTTGAGTCCCCCGAAGCTGAGAGCCCCAGGGAGGACCCGGCCTGGCCGATCGTTGAGTCCACTAAAAGAACAGGAATAAAGAAATGGGGGAGGGGCAGGTAGCGGGACCAACTGGACGGTGGCTCGCCCTGTCACCTCACACCGATTTGGAATCTCCTGTCTCCTTTTCCTCCTCTGTACAATGCGAACTTAGGCTAGTAGATTCCGAGGCGCTTTGGCCTCTGATCTCCGCGGGCGGGGACACCGGCCCCGGCCCTGGTTCCCAGCCCGGCATCGGAATCTGGTAGGGAAGCCAGGGAGCTGAGCCTGGCAGAGCCGCTAAACCAGAGAGAAGGCTGGAGTGTAGGCGGCTGGGTGAGATGTCTGCGAGTACAGTGCCTGCGTGAGGACTCTGCAGGTGCGACGCCCCCTGCTACCTCTGGGACCCTTCCCCACCTCACCTCCAGCGCTGTCCAAGAAGTGAGACAAGCTGGGGCGCCCCGGGAACAGAAAACGCAGCACGCGGACACAGACCGGCCCGCTCGGAAGCGCCTCCAGCCTCCGAGGCGCGATCCGTCAGGAACTGGGCCGGCTTGAGTGGCTGGGACGGCTCCATTCACGAGGGCGGCTTCCGAGAAATCTCAGGCGCCCTGACTGCATAGGGTGGGGGCCGTTGGGACCGCCAGGCCGGTGAGCTGCCGGGGGAGGGCTCAGCAGCCAGGAACCAGGCCATGAGAGTCCCCAGACTCTGGTATTTCACTGCTTCTCAAACACACACAGTCATCTAACAGACGTGGAGCAGCCCCGCGGCGCTGCCCAGCGGGCATGGACAATTGTATATACTATTTGAAATCGTGGGCTCGTCCCGTGTCAGGATTCTGCGGGCGTTCCGCGGAGCCAGACGAGCTGAACCGCGTTCTGCCTCTTGGCCTCCCGGACCTCTCCCCCTCAACCCGGTGGGAGGTTTGGGGTCGCCACGCAGATGACCGCTCTCTGAGTCTAGGCGCGTGGCCCCAGTGCCCTGACCCTGGGTTTTCCGAGCCTTAGGGGAAACTGCGCTGCCGGGGCGGGGGCGGGCGGGCGAAGGCGGTGGGAGGGGTCGGACAGAGGCAGCCCCAAGCCGAGCTCTGGAGCGACCCCGCCGCGCCGCTGGCCCTGGCCGCAGACAATTAAAGCAGGATTCCTCCCCCGCTGACGTCGGCGGCGCCGAGCCCCCCCTCCGCTCCCGCGGCAGCATAAAAGACGCGGGCTCCGCAGCGCAGGCGGCAGTGGGGGCCAGACAGCGCGGCGGCAAGGACCGCGGCGCCCAGAGCGCGGGCCGCCC